CTTTGCTGTGATGCAGCACAGCTGCTGATAAATTCCCTGCAGATCAATAATCAATGGAGTCGTCCGATATAGATGAGTATGCATGCTACGCAGATCCCTGACAGGGAGGGTGACAAACGTAGCAGTGCAGAGTGCGCCTCGTATAGCATGCAAATCCTGAAGGAAGAATGGTGGTTCACGAGGGAGTATATTTGACGAGGGGTCGTTGAGGACTGTGTAATGAACCACATTTCTCAGGATTCGGAGCCTGAGATGTCGACTGAGAACAGCTGAGATCCATGTCCCGTGAAGTGAGTGTTTTTTTTTTGTGTTTTTTTTTTTTTTCCTTTTCATTTATAGACCGTTTCTCTAGGCTGTTTTCCCGGGCGCCCGGGCACCCAACTTCTGGCCGGGTACACGCCCGGGTATGATATGATAATAGTGGTTCACAGGTTACAAACACGTTGAGAATACGCAGTGCAAGGCACAGGTACACACAGTGAGAGCACACAAGTGACACGTGGCACCGTAGTGACGGTAGACGAGAAACTGATGAAAACCAAGGGTTACCACGTTCCAAGCCGACAAACCCAAGAACCGCCACAATCCGCTAACCAGCCCGGGCGATAGTCTGCCGTCGTCACGGTCAACTATGCGCCACGGGAACCCAAGTCGCTAAAAACAGCAAACATCTACCTACTTATAGTCCGACAAGCGACAAAATCAGTCCAAACAACTTCAGGCAGACTCCGCCTCCCTGGATGTGGAACTGTCCTCATGGTACCCGGTACGCCAGTGGTACTGGGTCTCTTTCAGGAGACTTCACAGGTACTGTATCTACATCATTAACAGCAGAAAATTTCTGGGGCGGACAAGGTTCAAAAACCGGTCCCTTAGCGAACCCGTGTAAGACTGATCCAAGTGACAACTGGCTCGCATAAAAACTGAAACTGAGCCCCGTCCGTCCAAAAGGGGACAAAGGTAAAGCAAACACCAAAAATGAACAACCCTGTTCAAATCCTACCAATCACAAATCAAAGGTAAAACAAACATAAAAACTGAACAACCCTGTTCAAATCCTAACAATCACAAATCAAATCCATCGTCGTACGCCGGTAGCCATCTCTCCTGCTGCCAAAGCGTCGGAATACACGATTTACAAACTTCTCCAGAAAGTCTTTCTTCAACAATTCTTGTTGGAGTCCCAAAACCTTGTTGGGGATCTCAGATCGTAAATAGGTATTCTGATCGATGCGGTGAAGGTGACTGCCTATAACAGCGCTCTTCTGTTTTCGACTTCCCCACGAATGGAACGATTGTCCATTCTGAATCTTCGGGGGTTCCCCAGACCAGATGCTGGACTCATTTGTAGACAACTGCACGCTGCCTAGGTGCCCAGGTGCCCGGCCGGGCATGACCCCCGGGCAGGGTTTTGGGCAGCCCCAGCGCCAAAAAAA